GGGAGGGGGCCGGCCAGCCTGTGGAGTCCTCCGGGAGAGGCGGAGGGCCCGGCTTCCACTGCGACTTCAGCGGCCTGGTTGGGTTTTTTATTATTATTTTCAAATTTCTGAATCCAGCTGGAGGGAGAGAGCGAGAGATCTCCGTAGACTGCGATTTACTGCCTCTTGCTCCAAGATGATGCAGAGCGCGGCTGTCCCCGCGGAGGGGGCTGTCAAGGGGCTCCCAGAGATGCTCGGTGTGCCTATGCAACGTAAGACAACCCCCTTTCTCGCTGATTTAATTTGATAACAAGACATCTAACAGCTTCAGCGGGTTCGGGCAGGCCGGACGCTGCTAATGGCCCAGGCCGGGAGGGGTCCGGGCGCAGAGGTGGTCACAGGGCAGGGGTCTATCAGTGTGTTTTTGATGGGCCTGGCTCTTGACTGTTTGGGATCCAATATTAAAGCTCCAGGGATACTGATCGTGGAGGGCCCAAGGATTCGAAAACTGGCTTCTTCGGCCCGTGGCTTTTGGGGAACCCTGGGGATGATGCTGTTTGGGTACAACAGGGGGTACAGGGTGCAGGCCAGGCCAGAGGGCAAAAGTGTTCCCCGAGATAGTTGTTCTCCACGATGGCTACAGCTCGCAGAACCGCTAGTGCAACTTCACCCCACCTGGCGGGAAGTTGGAGAGTGAGTACCCCGGCCGGCTGTGCGTAAGACCCCCAGACACTCACTTGGTTTCGCGATCCGGAGCCTAGTGAGTTCCCACACTGCTGCGGGTGATACCTGCCGCCGCCGCAGCCGCCGCCGCCGCCGGGGACCGACCGTTCCTGGTCAGCGACTGCGCTCGCCACATTTCAGCTACCAGAGGAATGCAGCGCGGAGAAGCGCTGGGAAGAACTTGTGAACTCGATCAGTCTTTGCTTAGGCGAGGGTAGGCAACCTGGGTGGCGCGGATTTGAAAGAGGGAAAGATTCGGGTGTGTGGGCGCCTGAAATTAACAAAGCTTGGAGGTTGGGGCAGGTTTTGTGACCAGGTTTCTCTGTGCACCGGTGTGCGCCCGCAGGCATTTTCCTTGAGGGAATCTGTCACTGTTTCTGACTCCTGAACAGAAGAATCCACGAGAATCTGTGCGGAGACCCCAAGCATAGCGTGCGCTGTAGGCACCAGGTTATGCCCTGTCTCTCTGACTGCTGTGTTCGGTTAGGTGACCCTAGGCACAGTGATGAGACGAAGGGTTCCCTCTTTTGACTTGCCTAGAGGCTGTATTTCCGCCTGCCACAGATTTAGTGGTGCAGTAAGGGTTTAAGTAAGAGCTAGATCACCCAGGGATGGAGAGGACCTACGAACTAGGACGCACCAGCGCGCCCTCCTGCGCCCCAGCTCTCCATCGCAGGGGTTCTCTCCCAGCATCCCTCAAAGGGCAGGCTGGAGACCAGGTGTCCTGGGCTTCGCTGGAAAGTTGTGGGGAAGGGAGTGGTGGAGACAGCTCATCCACACCTGTTTGAGATTGTTTCTCGACTGTTTTCTATAATTTTTGTCAACTGTTGGCAAACTGTTTCAAGTTCTCTGCACCTCGGAGAATTTACTGTTAAGATATTCTGTAGGCGGCGTTGGTTTACACCAGCACCTACAGGGAGAGACAGTTCTCAGTTCCGGCACGAACAGAAACGCGAACCCTGACCAAGGTGCTTAAATCCTTAAGTTGCTGGTAGCTGTGCAGTGAGCGAATGGAGGGAGTGTGTGTGTGTGTGTGTCCTGTCCAACTCCATACACCTGTGCTCTGATGACTGATTCGCAGGTGTCCTGTCAGGATTCTGGACTCTCCCTCTGAAGGTTTTTTTTTTTTTTTTTTTTTTTTTTTTTTTTTTTTTTATTTATCTATCTTTGTATCTATCTACCATCCCTTGACTTTTGTTTCCTTTGCTCAGATACAACTTTGATGTTGGATGTCAGGAACTCACTTTCCTAAAAGGTCCAGAACTCACCTTCAGAGCTTCGTTCAGTTCTCCAAGGCTCTGAATCTGGGTCCATACCATGGAAAACTTAAGGAGATGAAGAAAAGAATGAAAGAATGAAAAAAAGAAAAAGAAAGAATTATCACTCTGGGGTGGTTCAGCAAGGCAATGCCAACCAAGAGGGGGTGGTGAGCCGTTCCTTTTGTCTTGCTTGAGTTCTGTGGAGGACAGAGGAGGCAGGTTGGAGGAAACATGGGATCAAAACTAATGCAGGAAGAGTTCAGGATTCTCCTTTCTCCCCCTTTTCTTTCTTTCACCCCTCTCTTCCTTTATTTCAGAATCTTGCCTTCCCTTACAAGCAGGTCTGTCTCCTAGCTGTTAAGCTCTTGGTACTGGGACTGGGGGACATGTGGGGGACATGATTCCTTCTCTCACAAATAGACAAACCTGAGTCATAGGGCTCAATTGTCTAAGAACTGATAAGCCTAGAAGTGTACGGGGCACACCCTTAGGTCTGGGGGGGGGACCCACTACTGGGAGAGCTATAGCACCGGGTGATTTGCACTGGAGACTGTCCAGTGGTCTAAGCAAATTTGGGTCGTGCCCCTTGCCACAGATGCTTTCTGCATTTTCATTGCCCGAGACTCTCCAGAGTACATGAGGAGCAGCATAGAGATCCAGAGATCCGTGCCCTTGGTGCCCTGGCCTCTAGGGGCGTTTTAGGACTTTATTTTTATTTTTTCATTTTTTTGAGACAAGATCTCCCTGTAGCCCCAGCTGGCCTGGATCTCATTATGTAGACCAGGCTGGCCTCTATCTCACAGAGATCAGCCTGTCTCTGCCTCCCGAGTGCTGGGCTTACAGGCGTGTGCCACCGCACGCGGTTTTAGGACTTTAAATCCAGTTTGTTTGGGGCAGCAATTGAAATATTCCCCTGCGTATCTGAGAATGGGTGAAATGCATCCCCTTCAGAAAAATGGTGTAATAACCACATGGTGTAATAACTTCTCTTCCTTCACCAGTTTCTACCCGCGACTCTGGGCTCTGCCACCGCCAGCCCCTCCCAGCACGGTGGGTTTTGTGCTTCACTGCACAGAGGCAGAGGTCGATGCGGACCTCGCGGCTGGGATGTGCCCAGGGCGGTGGGACCCGTCGGCGCACAGCTCAGGTGAACTTGAAGCTTCACAAGCCACAGTTCAGGTGGTGGAAAGAATCCGAAGGTGAGAGGCTGGCAGTGATCCCCAAAAGCCAACTGGGGTAGAGAAGTAAGGTTCCTCTTGCTTAGGTCTCCTTTTGGTCCGCAGTTGCCGCCTGGGACCGCTGCTTTCTAAGGAATTCAAAACCCTAGCTCCTTATTATAGGTGACCCGAACGCTCTTTTGGCGGCAGCGGCAGGCCACTTCCAGGGCCTTTTTGAAAGGGTTCGCTGTTGGTGTCTTTGCCGGTGGTGTGGCTGGCTTGGGGATGCAAGTGAGCCCTCACAGCACCGATGAGCAGAGTCGGGTGCTGTGAGCACTTGCAGTCTCAGAATCCAGGGGTCCCCTGCCTTCATCTGAGTCCTGCTGACCCCAATCCCCGGCTCAGGAGGTCCAGCAAAGTGCACGATGTGTGGTAAGGTGGGGAGCTTTGTCTGCCCTTTCCACCGTGATGACCCGTCTTCCATACAGTCTTCCTCCGAACTGTGGGAAAGGAAGATGGACACCCGCAGTTCAGAGCCTGCTGGCGGGACAGCAGAGAACCCGCCGCTGGAGAAAGGACAGGCCAGAGGGTCCCAGCTGGCGGGAGCAAAAAGGGAAACAGGAAAGACATCTCTACTCTCTGTCCTGTCAGCAAAAACCACTGCCAGCTCACTCAAATCCCAAAACTGAGCGAGAATGAGTATTATCTATTTTGTATTTGGTAGACTTTTGAGTGAAGGATTTCTTTGGGACTCCCCACTACCCTTTCTTCCTTGGCCAAGGCTCTAGGGTGTATGACCTGACTCCCTGCATAGGTTACACCCAGCATTCCTGGCCTTCCACCTGTTAGTCCTGCCTGCTGGCTTCTTGGGACGGCGTGGGCACCCATTTTCCAGGCCAGGACTTCTAGCAGACTTCAGCTGAATGCTTTTCCTTCCATTTCTACCTTATCTCTGGGTTCGAGAAGAACCCACAAAAACAATATGCTCTATGTGGACAAAAATCGTGCAGATTCCGACATAGAATTTCCTCTTCTTCAATCTCACCAAAAGAGTCTTAAGACGAATCATTTTTTTTTTTCTCCTAAGTCCAGGCTGCTGTCTCCGATAGGCTTCCAGCCTGGTGGATGGTGGGTCGTCTTCCCCAGCTGGTAGGATCTAGCGAGCCCCCGACCAGAGCTGTGAACTAGAGATTCTAAAGAAACCTAGTGACCACAGCAGCGCCTAAATTGACAACCGGTGGCCTAGAGCGTGAGGGGCGAGTGAGCTCCTATTTGGTCTCTCTCCTTTCGGTGGCAGTGAGGGTGGAGGGACCTTTGGGAAGCCCTGGTCCAGTGTGCTCAGGTTGCAGAATTAACGACTAACCCCTGCCATGGAGTTCTCAGTGGAGTAGGTGAAGGGTGTGCTGAGCCATTCCTCGGTGTCCCGGGAAGTTGCAAAGTTGGGAGTGAGCAAAGGAATCCGCTCCAATTCGAAGTCTGCTACCTTGCTCCGCTGCAGTGAAGTCTGCGGGAAAACCCAAACCAAACCCGGCTGCATACGGTTAAACAGGAGTGGCGTGTTTAGGTCAGGGAATGTGCTCCGCATGACCTCTCAGCGACCTGGTGGCTGCCTGGCCGGTAAACACTGTCCAGGGTGGCCCCAAGAACTGTGGATGAATTTCTTCCAGAAACCATAGCTGTGCCCCTGCGGGAGGTCCATGGCCAGGGCCCTTTGCTCGACTTGTGCCCTGGGTTTCGGGTCACTCGCGGGTGGAGGCAGAAGCAAGCAGGGCTGTCCTTCAGGGCTTTGCGCGCACCGCGTCTTGGAGACCGCGGTCTTGGTCCTTAGTGGGGCACGGGAGGGACTGCTTGGGTCCACTGGTTGCTCATGCCTGCTGCTTGGCGGGTTCTGTCTGTCAGCTCTGAGCCATGCAAGTCATTCCTTTTCGGAGCTTGTTCTCCCGCCCCGAGTTCTGGTTTACCGGCGATTGGCGGTGACTGGGCTCCCTGTCCTGCTTTAAGCGCACCTCTGGGGAGGTGCGGCCGGCCCTCGCCTCCGCAGCGCGCTGCTCAAAAAGAGGTCGCACTGGCACCTCTCTCCCTCCCGGAGCCCATTTCGCGCCAAACGTTGGCAGAGACAAAACTAAACCGCAG